TACGTACAGGTGGCATGTGCATCAGTGCATGTTTGATGTTTCCTGCACACCTCTTCAGCAGACATGAGTGCATGCTGTGCATCAAAAAAATTGTTTTTGTTTACAGTGAAAGATCCTCCCTCCGATCCCTCACACAAGTTAGAAATAATTTCAAGTTAAGCAAATATGTAAGAGAACTATTAAATAATATATTTTTCTTAATAAATCTATTTAAAGACATAAATGTAAATACTAGTTAGTCAAATTTAAGAAAATTAGACTTGTTTTAAACATAGAATTGTTGCACTTGTTTTTAGAACGGAGCTGATCTAGCCGACGTTGACCAGCGCTGATGCATGCATTTCTGCCAGGTCTGGACGGGATTTTTTATTCATCCCGTAGGTCGGCCTGTCTGTCTTGTCTGTGTCCTTTAATAACTAGGAAAAAAAACTAAGGATAACAAAAAAAAAAGTCCCGTTTTTATGGTCCCCTGGCAGGTCACGTTGAGAAGAAAGTACTAGAGTATAAAATTTCTAGCTCTGACTGCTGCGAAGAATCCATAAATCGTGGCTACTTCTCTTAAGTATAAAACGGCTCTCGCTCTTCTATAGTTTTGCTGCTAAAGCCGTTTTCTACATTGCCATTGGAGTAGTACAACTTCCGCCGAAGCTAGTACTAGAGCCCTACCAAATAGTTCCTTAGCTGCAGCGGAGTTTTCGCAATTAGATCAAGCGCTTAAGGCAGCATTTCATTGGTGGACCCACTTAAAACTTTTGGATTTGTCAGTTTGTAAGCCGTGTGTATCTTAGGCTCTTAGGTTAGACGCTGAAATTAAGAGTGCCATCAAGGTGATTTGAAGTGTAGTCTTGATTTTAGGGAAAGCTTGGTTTACTAGTAAAAGGGGAAAAAAGAGAAAGATTTAGAAGTAGTGCACACGTCTCTGTTCGCTTCTGCTATTCAACCAATTTTAATCCGTACAAATCAGCCATAAAATAATATTTTTGTCTCGTAACAAATCGACCATATAAACCATGCCGCCGCGCTACGCGCTAGGTTGCTGGCGAGAAGCGTCCAAGAATGGGACTGAAAAGGCGAGGAGGAAAACCAGAAACCGGCATGGTTTTGGATGTAGCACCACACCGCTTGTTTTTGGCTTGTCCTATATGCATGTGTTACTGTGCAATACGAAGGCAATGGATCACGGATTACCCTCTCGCTCTCGCCCACAATCTCACAGTCGCAGCACATCATGTCAGTCATCAGCAGGTAGCTAGAGAGCACACACACGCACGAACACATGCACACGCTACGACATAGCAATATGTTCTTTCTCTGTTTTTTTTCTCTCTCTCCGAAGAATCTAGTACTACTCCAAAGTCCTTTTCTTTTTCAGAAGAGAATCACTAGCTTAGCCCTTATTTAGTGGGAGAAATTTGAATTTTGGGTTACTGTAGCACGTTTATTTTTATTTGGCAGATAGTGTTCAAACATGGACTAATTAGGCTCAAAACGTTCGTCTCGTAATTTCCCACCAAACTGTGCAATTAGTTTTTCTTTTCGTCTACATTTAATGCTCTATGCACGAGCCGCAAACATTCGATGTGACAGGGACTGTAGCAACTTTTTAAAAGTTAGTGTGTGGTGCTTTTAGGTGGTGTCCCGTCGGTAGCGCAGCGCCGGGCGCCGGTCCAGAGCAGCAGATCACCGGAGCAGCCCCCAGTCTTTGGCTGCTGCTGGGCCATTTGGGGTTCCGCAAGAACATGCGGAGAATAATAGCCGGCCTCCATGCATCTTCCTCCTCCATCTCGATCGACTGCTCAAGCATTCTTCTTCTCCTATAGTATTATATATATCAATGCAACAACCGGCCGGATTCCATTCGATTCGATGTAGATGTAGGTATAGCTTGGCTCGCCCTGCACGTACGCACCGGCGGCCGGCCCACCGCCGGAAAATACGCCACCTGGCCGGCCTTGTCGTGCCTCTGCAACGTCCAGTCATGCATGCATGCATGGATGCACCACCGTACCAACCATCCATGGGTTTCTTCTTGCCTGGCGGCTGCCGCCTCGCCATTGCCAGCCGGATACGCCAATCCATTCTTTTCCCACCTCTATCGACGACGACGATCCATCGCCTTCCACTGCCCACTGCCCACTGCCCACCACCACCTCCGTCGAAGGCTGCCTCTCCCGACTTGCAGGACATCGATCTGAAGATGAAGCCAGCCAAGCGGCAATCAATGCCTTGATCGTCAGAGATGCATGGCGTTGTACATTACAGCAGATCACAAGGGAAGATCGAAGGCCCCAGCAGCAGTTTAGTTGTTGGCAGTGGCGCGCGCGCGCCCACACACACACTGATGAGGTTTTGGTAATACGGCTAGCTAGCTTTGCTAACCGGTTCACCAAGGAAAGCTAAAACTAATAAGTAGAGTAATAGTTCATGAATCTATAGACAATAAAATATTAAACTTTACTCATCAAACTTTGTTAACTGTAACAACGACAGCCAGTGTATTAGCATTAGCAACTGATGATGATCGTTCTAATAAAGGTTTAGGTGCCCACCACGCATGCATGTCTCTGCTACGCAGCCTGTTTGGGAGGCTGTATCATATCGTGGATTATTTACTACTGACTGGTTTGATGTGAAAGAAAAATACTATTTCCAACTAGAAATTTACGATCATTTGCCCAGCTAAAAATTTACGATCATTTGCGAGCAAGCGAACAGGCACATGGCTGGTAGCCTGGTAGCCGGGCGGGCAGCGGCAAAGAGGCATGCATGCACAGAGGATGAGAGGATCGATCCCCCCCGATCCCTGAGACATGAGAGAGAAGAGAGAATGGGAGGAGGAGAGGAGCAACGACAAGCGCATGGCGCCACGGACCTCGGGAACTGCGCACGCGCCCCCCCCTCTCTCTCTCTCTCTGCTCTGCGTCTGCTGCTGGGGCTGTTTGGCTGCTGCTGCGGACCTCGGGAACTGCGCACAGCCCAGCATGCATGTATGCAGTGCAAAGCCTGTGGCGTCTCTGCTGGATTCCAGTCCAGGCAGGCCCATGTGTATGTATACTCCCTCCGTCCCATTGAGTTTGTCGTTGGAAAACCATGCCTCCCTCACAATCCCGATTCCCGAGCAACAAACTCAATGGGACGGAGGGAGTACGTGTACTACCTCCGTAGCCTGGCCCGTTCTCGTTCGTTCGCGAGCACACGATACGAATAATAAATAATTGAAGGCGATGGTCGATATATAATTGCATTATTATGATCTGCACGCCGCACATCACAATCACATGAGTATAATAGTAATACTCCGAGTCCTATGCGGGGGCTCTGCTGTCAGGGACGCGCATATACGGAGCGCTACGCATCATGCATGCATGGTTCAGCACAGCACGCACGCCACGTACTAGGCGTCGTACAAATCCAAAGAAAGGCTTGTCGCCGATGCGTCCTCCGTTCCGGACAGTTGTCCGCGCTCCGCAGCCTTGCAGTTGCAGGCGGCGTCCGATCGATTCCCATCCCCTCGACCTCGATCTCTCTCTGCTCTGCCCCCTGAAATGCATGCATTGCCTCATCGCTCTCCCATGACCGGAAGAAAGCATCTGCATTGCAACGATGGTTGGTTCCACTTCTGCCCAATCAGAATCAGAATGGCACGGCATCGCAGACTACAACCATGCTGCTGTCTTGCGTTGCGCCCTTGCCACGGATAATATACAGTATTCGCGTAGCGCTCGGGTGCATCATATGGTATGGCACGCTCGGGTGCATCATTGTGTTTACCTTTGCCACTCACCCACAGGCCACACCCCTGCCTGCCAGACCTGCCCTGCCCTCCTCTCTTTCTTTCTTTCTTTCCCGGCCCCGCCAGGTCTGCCCTGCTCCTCCGGTGACTGTAGCTGTCGTTGTACAGCAAAAAGAAGCTGCTGCTGTTGGGTGCAGGGAGTGAGGCCTTGTTTAGATTGTAAATTTTTGCAATCTGGACACTGTAGCACGTTTCGTTTGTATTTGACAAACTTTGTCCGATCATGGACTAACTAGGCTCAAAAGATTCGTCTCGTGATTTACAACCAAACTGTGCAATTAGTTTTTTTTTACATACATTTAATGCTCTATGCATTATCAAAAATTGATGTGATGAAGAGAAAGTGAAAAAACTTGGAACTTTGAAATGATCTAAACAAGGCCTGAGCTACGGTACCCTTCCTTGCCTTTGCATCGATCAATTCAAATCCAATCCACTCGCTCTCAACCCCAGAAAGTGAAGTGGTGTCACTTAATGATGAGATAGATACCTACGGAACAAAAGCAAAGCAACACCAGCACAACACGAGACAGGCTGGCTGGCGGGCTCCATCAGCTTTCAGCCACCATCCGTCCAGGCCAGAATCCCCGCGATCTCTGCTACATGGCCATGGAATGGACGACGGATGGATCACCAGACACAATCATATACCAGGGGGGCAACGGCAGCGGCGCATCCATCACTAGAGGCAAGCCGGCGGCCCTTTTGTCTCCTCACTCATGCCACCATTTTCAAAACTCACCGTTTCTCTTCATCGCACGTCGTCTTGCCACACTTACCATCATCCACCACACACTTTTTTTTACCTACTAGGGGTACATGCTACTTACCAGCCCTCCTGTCAAGGTGAATTCATTGTGAATATAACTGGGCCGGGCCTTCGCGCCTTTCAAGGATTTGAATTATGGCAGCCTCAAATGATAGCCACGTAGCCACTGTGCGGCCACGATCCCAAACAGTCACACCTCTCAGATACCCGCCCAATGGAACCAAGTCCCAAGTCATTCTTTACAAGGAATCATTGCAGGCTACAAACAAAGGTGCTCATACAAATGTATCACCAAATCCACAGACGCGGGAAAATAGTCCACAAGTCCACAGCTACAACAGTCTAACCATATCACGGGCCATCGCAGCAGCCGTGAGGACATCCATTTTGCTGTTCCGTTGGTCACCACCAAAACAGGCAGAGCGAAAACCTCTATTTTTACCTGTCATAGCCACCGCCGCCCGCCCGGCGGCCTCCACCGTAGCCCCTTTCTGGCATCCGATACGGCGAAATCGATCGCTCCCTCCTTGACCTACCACCGCCATAAGGAGGCGGGGAGTAGCCCCGGCCGCCGCCCCTGCTTTCGTAGTAGTCTCGAGGGTCCCTGTGGGGAGAGTAGTCCCGGCTCTCCCTGTAGGAGGGATAATAGTCCCGGCTCTCCCTGTAGGAGGGATAATAGTCCCGGCTCTCCCTGTAGGAAGAGGACATGGGAGGCGGGGACCTGCGGTAGCCATAGCCACCGCCATTGCCATAATACTCATCACGCCCACCACCATAGCCTCTACGGAATCTCCCACGCTCTCTGCGCTCGTACCGATGGCCTGTCAATGGTATCAAGGTGTAGGATAACTGCATAAGTAGTGAGTAATACCAATGGTCTGTCAAAGTGTAGGATAACTGCATAGTAGTGAGTACTACAGGATATATTTTTATACAGTAAAAGCAAAAGAAAAGGGTCGGATGAGTCACCAAGCAATAAGTGATGAGACATGTCACGGCAAAAGTAAAAGGGAAGCAGATAGAAATAAACTGAAAGGATTCAAAAGGATGTTGTAAAATAAAATGAATTGGTATCTACAGAACTAAAAATGCTGCTTCCATACCAAGATAGCTTCCAGGAGTTGGTGTCCTTGGGCGACCACGGCGTGACTGAGACAACGGAAGGAGAAATTTTAGTCAGATTACAAAGAATGGTAATAATATGATTAAAAGTAGTATCATTCAGGATCATGTAAGTAATTACAAGTTCCTCTTACAATCAATGGATACACGCCCTGCAATAACGGACCAAGGGAGGAAATAAGTAACGAAGAGCCCAAACTTCAACTAGCAGGCATCCAAAGTTGCTATCGCACATGGCACCACACATGCTTGACTAACGAGTTGGCAATGCCCGTTGATTAGTTGATGTGGAAGTTGAAGGTGAATGCTCAGGTTTAGTTGAAAAATTGCTATGTTAAGTTGTTGTGAATCTTGTGGTGCATGGTAACCCTTTGGGCTGTCCACTGAACGAGCCATATGAGCTAAAGTTGGAATTGGTGAACTCAGCATCTTGATTGCTGGACATAGCTTGCACAATATCTTCTGAATAATAACCAAAAAAACTTCCAGGTCAACACTCTGCACATATATGGTTGCACTTTATTTAGCATCAACAACCCTGGTGTAGGTAAACACAATTACCTTCTCAACTGTGATGTTTCGACCTTCCATTACAGAATCATTAAGATACTTGATGCAACGCTCAGCTTCTTCAACAGTGTCCATGGTGACAAAGGCAAATCCACGGGAAACACGTGTATGTGGTTCAAGAACAACATGGCAACCAACCACCTAGTCCAAAAGAGATGTCATGATGAGATACTTCTCAGAGAGATTAAGCTTAAACTCTGTATGAAGTCACTAACCCTTCCATGCTTAGAGAAATAATCTTTAACATCCCTTTCAGTCACCCTGGAAGAGAGCCCAGTCACATACAGAGTATTTCCGTGGTTAACAGCGTCCTCCTCCCTGCAAACAGGAAAGAAATCAGAATGTGGCCACTGCAGATAAAGTATAAGCAAATGTAAAACTAAATGGCATGAAATCTTTAGGTGTCTCATTGAGTGAAAAACAATGTTTTCACCTCTCTTTTCTCCTACTGTATCTCTTTTACTAGTCCCAAATGTACATGCCATCCAAACTATTAAAACATTATTCCATTAGCAAAATCTGTTATCTACTTCTTTATCAGTGAATTTCCTTTCCAATTTCAGCTACTATTACCATATTACATTGGGCCGTCACACATCGGTTGTTGCAAACCATTCTCACCAAAGCAACGAAATTCCTTATACTCGCTATATGTAGTTTGCAAGTCAAATACATTGCATGACTCTCAACTATCACAACAAATGTATATCAAAGATGGCATGTTTAAATACTTAAAAGAAAATATAATGAACAGCTATAATAATAGGTGCAGAACAGATTTTTTTACTCTTAGCCCACATCAACAAATGCTATTACAACATGAATATCACTTAACTCCAGCAATACAATTACCATATACATTCAAATTTTCTAGTGATAAAGGGAAAATCGTACAAATTTAAGCAACACACTAGCAAACAATTTATACCACATGTGTAGCAAACATTTTAAAGCACATGTAGCGTTGCAAACGAAGGAAAGGAGTAAACTGAGAACCTCTCATGGCTTCTAGACCTTGACCTCGCCTGAGATCTAGGATCAGGCACAGGCGACCTAGACTGAGACCGAGCTGGAGATTGTGACCTTGACCTCGCTTTTGGGTGCCCCCTGCTGTATGAAGGGGACCTCGAGTACCTACAAATAAGAAATTGCCACAGGCATGCATTAAACGTTAAACAACGCTTAGAGTTGTGATAAACTGTTCCGGTGAAAGATGGCAATAGAATGTGCAGTTGAAAATCTAAATGAGCATGCAAAATCACTTTATTGATCTACACAGTTTTCAAACTTCACAGGATATTCCATGTCTACTGATAGGACACTGTTACAGAGGAACACTGAAATACGATAGGCACCACATATAAATCATAGTCATAATTAAAATTGGCAGCCAACCTGATACTTTTAAAACCAACACAAAGTTGCAGCAGGAATTAGGACCATGAGCACAGATATAAAAGAATGCAAAATGCAAATTTCATGAAGTGTTTCTAGAACAGATGTTTCTTGCCTTATCATTCATCACTAACATAGATATGCCATGAATTATCTGAATGAATCGACTAAATTTAACTCTAGTGATATCTCTCAATAAAGGCAGCAACAACACCATAGAGGATACTTTCTCCACAAAAACCAGAGGTGCCTTCCAGCACTGATTTACAGCAAATGTTAACAAACCATTTGATGTTTCTTCAGTTTCTCTAAGCAATGAGTGACTACAATGTATAGGAGGCAGCCTTTTTCAAGGAAAAGGGTTGTCCTCGACTGAGTAATGGACCAAGTTTCAAAGACTATTCCTCATACGAAAATGAAACATAAGAATGACATCATTGCCTAAAAAACAATGGATTGACCAGATGATGGCCAGACAAATCCTAGGACCAAGCTATTCCTCAAAACAAACGTACCCTAAGATAAAGCACCAGAACTAATAGTCTAGTTGTGTGCAATGACAAACTAACACCTTCAGGAGCTAGTAAATTCAAGCCTGACATGAATAGCACTTGTTTGAGGGCACTTCTGACAAATAGGTAGAACTATATTAACATAGCAAAAGGAATGCAAGGAGAAGCTTAGCACTTAAGTATGTTCATGGATTATGTCTCCAAAATTAACCTGACCTCATAAATACAATGAGACATGTCTATATAAGACTCAAAAAGACATAGAACCTGACTCTAACCAGTTAAGCTATTAAGTGCATTAACAATTTGGTCAAAACTATCAAGGGGCTGTTTGGATTGAACCCTAGCTAGGCAACGCTCACCAGGCAGCCAAAATGCAATGACTGAGAATGTTTTGCCTGCCAGGCAGGTTTGCCTGGTGTCAACTGTGAAACCGAACAGGCCCGACCATGCACACTTTGGATAGCAAGCAAGTCATGCCAGAATCATGACAAACACCATCGTTTCTTGTTAAAGGCGTATGAGGCTACACTAAACATGCACATAACCGATTCAAACACAAACCTAACCTGATTTAAAGATACAAATTACAGACATGCGCAATCTAGATAGTAAGCAAGTTGTGCCAGATTCAAAAACAATATCATGAAAAACATCACTGCTTGTGGTTATTGAAGGTTTAGGAGGCTACACCAAAACCTTTAGGAGAAAGGGACTTAGTAGAGAAAAACTAATGCAGGCAAGCTGGTTCATCCATATTTGATAACCGAGGAGCTCCCACTAGAGATCTTAAGATGCACAAGGCGTCTAAACATACAGCTACCATTGCCCTCATAAGCACAAGAAGCGAGATACATCGAGCCTCACGATTCATTATTTAACTCAAAACATGACAAATAAAACAACAGAAATCACAATCAGACATTCCATCCCGCAGATCCTATTATATTCTCTATGGATCCTCAGTTTTCCCATACTACCCCAACGAAATCAAACAGCACCCACAGAACTAAGCTGAAATCCCATAAGTTAACACCACTAGGGCCAGATCAGGGGTGACCAACGACCGAGGATTATGACGCCCATATACGAATAAAGAAGCCGGCGTAGTTACCTCCTGCGCGGGGAATCGGCCTGCGAAGACGTAGAGGGAGCATCACCCAAAAAGCAAAGCGTCAGTGCGGGGATCAACGGAATCACCGGACGAGAAGAAAAAATAAATCACAAACACGAATGGAACAGCGACGGCGAGGAGGGGAAGAGGGGATCACCATGTCGCGAAGCGGGGACGGCGCCGGGGGCGGGGGCGGGGGAGCTCCCAGGCGGTCGCGCGCGCGGGGCTAGGGTTTGGCTGCGCGTTCGCTTCTCCCCCTTCCGGCCTTCCCTCCTCGGCTCTCCCTTTCTGTTGTGGCGTGCACAGCACTGCGCTCTCCGCTCCGAATTGTTCCGCGTTGTGTATTTGTCGGGGGACCGCAACAGCTGGTGGGCTTCGAGGTCAACCCTTTCCGGCCCGGCCCGGCCCGGCCCAGTTAGGACAGATGCGGGGTGGGTGAGGAAAGAAGCCGTTCGCTACGCGATGGACGGTTCAGATCTGTCGGTTTCCCAGTGTGGAGTGGGTGCTGTGGAAGAGCCGAAAAGGCGAGCCGACGAAGGGAAGGGAACCCTCGTGACCGGCGGCGGCGAGGGGAGATGCCGCCGGAGAGGACGAGGATGGAGGAGCTGTGGGAGCGCGAGGTCGGCGGCCTCCCACCCAAGCGCTTCGCCAACTCCGTCATGGCCTCCAAGGTTTTCCCGTCTCCCTCGTCTCTTATTTTGTGCTCCGATGAGGATCTCACGGTTCCGTTTGTACTTTATACCATCCACATGGTTCCGTGAATTCGAAGAAAAATTAGGTTCTAGGACTGAGGAATTAGTGCCTTAGATTCGGCTTCGAGCTAGGCCTACGCGCTTGGGGAGTTTGGGAGAGGATGAGGGGGCAGCTGGTAACCAGTTTGCCTGTGCGCAGGAGTATGTGCAGTCTCTCAACATCCAAAAGCGGCTACGGAAGCACAGGGGCTGCGTCAACACGATAAGCTTCAGCGCCGACGGGAGGCTGCTCCTCTCCGGGTCGGACGACCGGACCCTCGTGCTCTGGGACTGGCAGGAGGCGGCGCCGGCCTTGTCGTTCCACACCGGGCACAGCAACAACGTGTACCACGCGCTGTTCATGCCTGTCTCGGGTGATCGGAGCATCGTCTCATGCGCTGCTGATGGGGAGGTATCCATATGTTACAGTTTTACATGGCGTTGCCCTTGCAACAACAAATTCAATGATCTGGTCTGCGTTTGTCATTTATGGATTCGAAACAGGTCATCCATTCGCAGATACAGGAAGGGGGTCGAGTGATTACAGACAAACTCGTTGAGTTGGAGTTTGCAGTACACAGGTTGGCTGTTGAGCCAGCAAGTCCTCGCACGTTCTACTGCTGCTGCCAAGATAGCTCCGTGTGGCTTGTATGTTGTTGAGTTCCTTTGCTTCTTTCTATCACTGCTCAGATTCTTCATCTGCTGACTCTGTTCTCGCCCCAGTTTGATCTCAGGGGGGAAAATGCCATGGAACTATTTAAATGTAGGGCTCCAGACTATTACGCTGCTGAAAACATCGCACTCTATGCTATTGCCTTAGACCCAAGGAAGCCCTGTTGTTTCGCAGTTGCTGGATCAGATCAGTATGTAAGGATATATGATACCCGCAAGATTTTTGTGGATGGGAATTCTAGTTCCAGTTGCCCGACTGAGCACTTCTGCCCTCCACATTTGATTGGTCAAGTTGAAGAAGAAATAACTGGTTTGGCCTACTCACAGACCAGCGAGCTATTAGCATCCTATAGTCATGACGATATCTACCTTTTCTCAAGAGAGCATGGTTTACACTTCAACAATGTTGAGGTCAATAAACAACTCCTGAAGGATGCGATTGAGCCTTCCTTTTCCTTTGGTGATAAGTTGCCTATACCTAAGACATTCAAGGGACACGAGAACGTAGAAACCATGAAGGGGGTCAACTTCCTTGGGCCCAACTGTGATTTTGTTACCTCTGGGTCAGACTGTGGCAATATATGTATTTGGAGAAAGAAGGATGCAGAACTGATCAGAGCAATGCGTGGAGATAAGCGGATTGTAAACTGTGTCGAACAGCACCCTTGTGGGATTGTTCTAGCAAGTAGTGGCATTGATAAAGATATCAAGATTTGGGAACCTGGTGAAGGTGAAAACCTCTCCATCACTGAAGCTCACGAGGTATGTGGATGTTGTACTTGAGTCTCTTATCCTTCTCCTTCCTTGTTGGCTATTATGTTCTTTGTATGGACAACTTGCCATAAATCTCCTAATGTATTGAATAGGCATGGAAAAATCTTCACATAGCAACATTTGCATAATGAATTAGCTTGCTTGGTATTTGTATTGTGAATCTGAAGTATCCAGTGTATAAAGGAAAAGGATCAGTTTCACGTTAGAAAGTAACTTGAGTTAGGAATGACGGTTTCTTGTTGAAGTCGCTATTGAACTACCAGAATCTAACATTATGAAAATCCGTGTAATGTTGATTAATGCAAAAGAAATATTCAGTAGTTTGATACACCACAGTTCATATTATATATAAGGTATAAAACTAAAAGATAGTGATCAAATTATAGTTTAAGCTTTTAAAATGAACAATTATTTTAATGAAAAAATAAAAAGGATGTGGTATCTAATCTCTTAGTCCATGCAAAGTTATATTTTGGCATTATAACAGGCGTATGATCCTCCAAACCATATTCCTGTTCTTATTACGTGACACTGTTGGAGATATCGGTTTCTGCTGCCCTACTTTTTGAGTTTGAACAGAGTTGCAAAAAAAATGCTATTGCTATATGAGTGATTTAGAATCCTGATGTGGAATTTAAATTTTGAAGGACGATGAAGATATTTGGATCTCCAGTGATTATGATTCTGATGGCTTTATTATCAACGACGGCTTTGGTTATGTGATGGACTTGGATCCTATCCATTTATATGAAAACGGTGATCATGAATCTGAGGATGATGAAGATACATCGTCAGGGGAACATGATGACGGAGATAACAGTGCCGAAGAAGATTTTGATGGTGGAAACAGTGCTGGAGATGAGGGCGATGATTGATGATGATATGATAGGTGAGGGAGATTGCATTCAGCTATTAGATCAAGAACAGCTGATTCTGTTGTCGTTTTAGTTGTAGCTTTGTAGGTTATCTTGGGAGGAGCAAGGCTTATAAAAAAACGAAAAACGTGCTTAGCTAGGATTATCAAGAGTTTATGTACGATGCCTCCTAGGTTACTGTTTGGTGTTCCTCTTCATTGTGTGCTATTTCACCTGTATATATTTTCTTCCGGATTGAGATAGTCTTGCGTAGCGATGTAAATGTATTGTGAAAGCAATTATTCCAACGAGAGACTGACATCAGAGCAACTTTGGATCAAGTATTCAACCATTCATATGTTTATCAAAAAAAAAAAAACCATTCATATGTTAGTAGAGAGTTTATGAAAACCTGTTTGCTCTTCATGGATTGCTCCTCGCAGTATGGGCACGCACTGGAATCAGCACAACGTGCAGAGTCTTTTTTACTAGTTTGGAGGAATCTTTCATATATTAGATTAGATTTAGAAAATAATTCAATTCCTGGAATGTTATTATTTGTTTAGAGCGGCTTATTTTTATCTAGTAAGTAGTGTTCTGTTCAATAATACATAGTCCCTCTGATTGAAAGTACAAAGCCTTCTCAATTTTTTTCGAAATACATGCCATCCTGAACTATGAACTTCGAGGCTTTTTTTCTCTCTCATTTTCTTCCTTTCATGCTCTTCTAAATACTGTAAGTGCTTTCATCCTCACAAATAAATTAACATATCTTTCCAGTATAGTAGTATAAACAAATGTAACAAAATCATTCGGTCACTTTTCTTAATCTTCGTGCACATCATAAATAGAAGCAACGAATATCTTGAATTGGAGAGGGATTATTATATGCAGAATATCTGTTCGTTTTCATATGCGGCTTCAGTTTCTACAACTCTTAACTAC